TCTTAATAAATTATCAAATGTTTATCTGCCTCTTACTATTAAAAACACCAATAAATCTTTGCAAATTTATTTCTTCTAAGACATAACTTTACAGTACTCCCTTAATTGTTAAGAAAAAAGAGTTAAATTTCAGAAAGTACATTGTTTTTTTTAAATTTGGAAATTGTACACTTTGAATACATTTATCTTTTAAGAAAATAACTTTAAATAATTAGACAAAAAAAGTATTTAAAACTTACCAGCATCCGTTAGACGAAAACACAGTTCCACTTTGATCCAGAATAGCACCATCCATTTGAGTATCATGCCTTATAGTTTTTTTTTCTCAGTCAATTTCTCACTTTTTCATTTAAAACCACAAAGCTCCAGATTCATTCATAAAGCATGCTGGCATTTTCCAAACAAAATATGTCTGAAAATTTCTGTCATTAAATATTACTTTTCTTTTAGTCTTGAAATTATATTGATCTTAAACTACAAATAAAATGTTCAGTTTTTATATCGAATAGTATAGAATCTGGAAACTTTTTTCCCGACTGGAAGATAAATTGCTACGGAAGCTGTATTTCCAGTTCACCCGCCAAACTCAGTCTTCAGAGAGAGACTGTTAGGTTCGGAATATCGGATAGAAAAGGCAGGTTACAAAAATAAGTTTGGCTGCGAATGGATTCGCCAAACGCTCGCCAATAATAACTAAGTTAGAAGCCAAATTTGTGAACAAAAATATATTTTCTCTGAATAAAGGCATTTTTTGGACTTTCATTTGGTTTTTGTAAATAAACTTGTTTCTTTTTTTATAAAAGAGAATATTTTGAATGAGAAAAACTTTAGTACTGGAATGGACAAAAAACCTTTATAAACAGTCAAATCAATTACAATTTTGTATTATTATAAAATTGTTTTTGAAAAAAAAGCAATACAATTGCTTTGAATATTTTTTCATTTTTAATATTTTCAATGAACAGTTTTTCTCTGTTTTCTGTTCGTTTTTGATCTGGCTGGCTCAAATTTAGAAATGAATCTTACATTTAAAAATGAAATGAAAAAAGTGGTAACAGCATAGAAAGTTTAATAAAAATTCCTCTTAATGCAGTCTTAAATTGTTAAGATTGTTTTATATCATTTTAAACAAATTATGGAAAAAAATATGGTTGCAAGTAGATTTCCTGTTATATATTCTTAAGATACTGAAAATTACAAATTTTAAGTCTGTTTTACTTAGAAGCAAATCAATTAGAGAATAAATTTTATTTGTATTAATTTATAAAAAAAATGTTATATATAAATAGTTATTTTGAGAACAACATAAAAAAACGTAAAAGGAAAAAATTAACAAAATTTTAAGAAAGTTTAAGAAAAGGAACATTTGTCTTCTAAAATATTTTTGTATTGCTTTTATTTCAAAACATACTTTTAAATGCTTTTTGTGCTCTCACTTTTAAATAGTTCATGGCTATCAAAGAAATTTTTCTAAGTAATATTTATATATTAGTTCCCCATACTTAGGACATGAATAGTTAAGAAAAATACATGTGTATCAAAAGTATAAAGTATGTTATCAAGTTAAGTTAGGTAAAACTTAAGAAACAATATTGTATTCCAGTATAAATATGTAACTACAGCTCTGAATGACATCCAATATATTGATCTGCTTATATTTATAATCATTTTAACTAAGCAAAATGACATCGAATGCTGGCTTTCCAAAAAAGATGCAAATAAAACTAGCAAAAGTATTAAAAATGTCTATTTATACTTACATATATAGGTAATCCTCGATTTAGTCACAACAGATTGCGATTTAGTTAAATATAAATGTCAAGAGCTACTTCTGAAATTTCAAGCAGCCATTTATGTAAATAGAAAACTAATTGAATATGTAAATGTAATAATTCTAAGCAGTTATAAGCTATTCAAAAATTTCCTTTCAATTTTCTAATTATTTAATACTTTTCAGTTTACAAGTTTTTGAATGGCATACGTAAATAATTTGTATTTTTCAAATTATATGTCATTTTATGGACACAGTGGAAATAGTCTCTTAGTCTTTCAAGAGGAAATAGTCTCTTAGATTGCCAGTCAAAATTTCGGAATAATATTAATTTGCTTATCTTTATTGTAAACTTTTTAATTGAAAGTCTTACAGAAATGTTTCCTGATGATTTTTTTCCCTTTGCTTGTAGATAATGGTGTAAATATTTATACTGAAATAAAATAATATTGTTATAAAATTATACAAACAGAAAGGAAATTCTTTAAAGTACAAGAAATTTGCATACTATTACTTTTCTGATTACAAAAAAAGCCTTTATCAAAATTTTTTCTGACAGAAGGTTCAAATTAGCATTTAATATATTTTATTAAAATGAATATAAAAGGAAAAAGGAATAAGTTTACGAAACAAAATTTAGCTTTACACTATTTTAAGACCAATTTTAACTCCCTTTTACAATATATATAAATTTATAGATTGAGTACACGTTATAGAGAGTTATTCTGAAAGCAAAGTTGTGTAAAACATTATCAGAAGATTAGTGTAATCCCATTGACTTCTGTGTTCGTATATTTTAGGGTTTACTATTTTAGTTGTAGAAAATATATGTTATTACACTGCCTAAGAATGCGTTTGGCAGTTGAGAACAATTAAAGAAACAGGATTTGACTTACTATTTGTGATAAAAAAAATGCTACTTTTTTTTTACCCTCAAATTATGTGGAATATTCGAGACTTATATTTTAATATTTTCTTCACTGCTTGCCAATTTGAATTATACATACGCTTATATTATTAATTGCTCTCCCTTTGCTCCTGAATTTTATTTTATGAAATTAAGTTTAACTCCCTGGATTGAGTCATGATTTTGTGGAATTTTTCTGTGATAAGCGTTTCGCCATGCTGAATAAAATTCAGCTTTAAAAACATTACAATATCTTGGGGGGAAAAGTTTCTAGAATGAAACTCTAGTTTGTATATTGTCCTTCTTATTAGATTGTGGTCAACAAAGACCGGTTAATCATTAAAGTTTCATCTAATACTCTTTGAGCATCATTAATTCAAACCACATTGAATTATTTTCATTGTTTTTCAGCATAATTATAATCCCTAAGATGAAAGAATTAAAATAATTCATTATAAACTCCATAAATTCAGAAAATAAGACTCACAACTATTATTTTTACTGTCATAGCTGCAGCTTTTGGAAAGTTAGTTTTCTGATCTCTCTTCGGATACTAAATAATAGACAATTATAAAATAAAAGTAATGATAGCAATTTTAAAGTGTATCTGTAATTAATTTTCTATTTTGCCTCTCTAAATGGAATATCGGTCAAATTTTTAATAGCAATAAGTGTGTTTATAAAAGCACATATTTTTTCATTGCTTTTGTTTATTAACAGATAGAATAGTAATGAACGTGCATTAAAATTATGCAGTATTAAATTTTACTGAGGAATTAATTTGCTTGAATGCATTTGAGGGTGATTCCAAAAAAATAATTATCTTGTCAGGATTTCTTAAAATTTTATTTGGGACTAAGGATTGCAATTATGTTTATTTTCGCATCTATAATGTGTTTGTTAGAAAATATAACCGTTATAAGGATGAATGAGTGTAAAGTAGACATAAATACATTTAATAATTATTCGAAAGTTTATTTGATTCAAATAATCGAAGTGAAATAATTTGAGAAGTTCCACACAATAACTTTCGTTTGAAATATTAAAAATGGTTAAATTTTTTTTTTTTACATTACTGTAGTTAAAAGTGTGTACATTCATCAAATATTTCTGTGTCTTAGTTGCAATTAATACATTTTTTAATTAATAAAACCTTACCCTTTACAAAATCATTTAATTTTTTTGGAAAAAAGGGGAAAATTTTGGTGTCTCGAAGAAAAGGCGTAGGCTTTTTTAAGAATGAATTTAAAAAATGCTTTATTATTTTTTTTCATTTTAAAAATGTTAATATTTCAGAAAATGACATTTAAAAATCACGAGGTTAATAAAACCTTATAATGTTATACTTTGAATAAGTGTAAGATAATGTTTATTTTTTCCCCTTGTGTTGTTTAAAGGAATATCGAGAAGACAATTTAATGCACTCTCATTAAGAAAGCTTTAAACATTTATCTCGTGATGCGGCCCTATACCTTGTTATGTAAATTATAGAAAATGGTCATGTTTCAACGCAACAATATCCAATTCCAATAGTCTTTAAGTTTATTCTTCAAAGAAATCAACTCAGATAAAAAAGAACCAAACTTTACGATAGAATTCAAATTCGCAAAATAATTGTAACGTTCGTAATATTAGAATTGTATGACATAATATTGGGCAACACCATGCAATCTAAATTGAATTAAAGGGATCAAGATTTGGAAATTAAATTTTTTAAAAGTTTCTGAACTATTTTTCAAAACTTATTTTTAAAATATTTTTTTCAAAGATAAATTTCAGTTAACTCTTTTGCTGGGTTTAATTCAAATCCAGTAATGTGAAACATTCAAAATAGAAGGCTTTTGATAGATTTCAAAAGGGGAGTGTTCTCGAGTAAACAGGGAACCCTAATGTAATCAAATTATCATAAAAGGAAGCTTGCGACTTCGTATTTATTCTCTTTGAAATCTAAATACACGTTTATAGAAACAACTTCTTGACGGTGTGGTATTAAAGAGCTTAAGCTAATATTTATATTAATTATAAATGGGAATGTAAACTTAATTGCAATGGTTGTTATGTAAAGAGACTAAGAGATTAATACAATTAATATAAATATTAATTACAATTAATATAAATGTTATTTACAATTAATACAAATATGTATATACATATGACAGAATCACAATATTAAGTGGCAAAATAGAAAGTAATTTTCCATTTTTTTTATATATGGTGTTGGACTATTTTTTTTTGTTTGTTACTATTTATTCATTAATTAAATTTAATTATTCAAATAAAATATATTAGAATAAAAAGAAATCAAGTTCTCAGACATTAGGCCATCCTTGGTGCGATTCGAACCCATAACCTTTGGATTAGAAGTCCAACCCACAACCCCAAATTTGTATTTGGGGACACAAAGAGCGATTTTTCCTTTTTATATTTTGGTTTTTTGGGGGGTTTTTTTTAATTGTTACACTATTTATTCTTTAATTAAAAATTAATGAATTAATATTCGAAAAAACTGTATTAACTTCAAGTTTCCACTACAAGTTTAAAAAAATGTATTTGAACTTGAATGGGTAAATATAAATAGAAAGTATTCTATTAATAATGGAAATTTTGAACAAAATGTATATATATATATATAGAAAGAGTGTAAACAAATTTTAAGGATTTTTTTAAAATTTTAATAAAGGAAAATGTTTTTAAAAATAAAAAAATGGAATAGTTTTAAAATCGAATTTTCTAAAGTTTTTTGACTTTCATTCCCTTTTGTTTAATTTTTTAAGCAACTTTTTTATTTCATTGTTAAAATTTGATATAATTTTTTCAGACATTATATTTTCAAACAATACATTAAAAAAAAATTTCACGTATCTTTTAAGCTTAACATACGAAACAAACACTTATAGTAATAACATATTGTAAACCATTTCTAAGAACTCTTGCTAAACGGTTAAAAAAATTTGAAAAGGCTGGCTATTCAGTTATTAGAGCTTTTCAACCGAATCTAATCTTTGTTCTCGAATGAAAAAAAAAAATAATTTCTCTTCTTTTCTTCCTGAACTTCTCATCTTACATTTTTTTTCCGGAACAGATACGATTGGATGAAATCATTAAAAGAATCGATAAATTCTACTTCTGCGGGTAAGGGGGAGGGCAAAGAATATTTTTTTTTTTTGTAAGATATATTAAAAAGAACTAAAATTATATATATATTAAAAATGTTATAATGGTGGATTTTTTGAAGATCAGCCCTTTAAAAGTTCTCAAATTGGATGCTGAAATATTTTCGATGCTACAATCTTCAAATGATAAATGAGTAATAAATTCTGAATATTTCTATATAGAATACATTTTATATAGGAGGTATAGAAATAAATAACTTTATATATTTTTTCTACATAATAAGAATACAAACATATTTGTTACAATTCTATTGCTATTTTTAATCTGACTTCTAGCAAAACATACACCCCAATAGATAAACTGGTTAGACTAAACTAAGTTAAAAATTGGACGAAAACATAACACTTGAAAGTTGAGCGAAATGTCAGAAGCAGAACTCTTAAAACGTGAAAACAAACAAAAACATGATGATTTAATCTCAATCATCCCACTTTGAAATCTGTAATTCAAGTATGTCGAATTAGGTATGCAATTATTATGAAATTACCCTTCTGTCATTTATGAATTTGTTTTAATGGCTTCGAAATTATAATGATATTAAACTCTAACATTGTTTTAACTTGTATTTCATTTAAAATTATTAATTAAGAAAAACCAAAAATTATAAAATTGCAACAATTATATATATATATATATATTCATAAAAAGAAATGTCTCAAATACATTTTTCTAACATACATAGGAGTATAATGTTAATGTTGTTCTTGCTAGTTTTCTTGAGGAAGTTTGCATACAAGATAGATAGGGATTCTTTCATAGCATAGAAAATTTAAATAGTAATTTAACTATATATTTTATTGATATTTTTTTTATACGAGAAAAAACATTGACATCAGATTAAGTTGGTTTCTCTAATTATGTGGGTAATGACATTTTCTCCTTCCGAGTGTAAAACTTTTCTATGATTTCTTTTTGTTTTTCCTCTTGATTTCAGCTTTAATCACTTTTCCCTGATTTATCTTGAGCCAAACGAGGAAATACATGTCAAACTAGAGAAATCTGTTTTCATGAGAAATTTCTTAGCAGTCATGAATTTCAATTTTAATGAGGTATATATTTATCTGGGGTGATGAACTTTAATCACAATTAATGGGAAATTCAGAGAAAAATTTATTTTTAAATCACTTTCATTAACAAATGAAAAGTCACAGGTCAAGCAGTAAGGCTTGTTCCAGTTAAAATTAATTAGTTCAGTATAAGAAAATATTTTTCCATGTGTATAAGAAAATATTTTCCATGTGAGAAACTTTTTTTTTAAAATTGTTTGCACGTATTTTCTGAGAAATAGCGAAATGCCTTTCTTAATTTTGAATGTTACGATGCAGTTTTATAATATTATGGTTGTTGTCAAAAGAAAGAGATTCTGTGAGCAGAAAATTATTGAACCTGCACGAATTTCATTTACTTTTATATTTAATTCATGATAATACGAGAGGTTAATGTTGAATTACAAAATCTTAAATCGTGGTCAAATGACAATGTAGATTAAGGGTCGTTTTAGCTGAGGCATGCTAATCTGATCTAATAATGTGATTCATTGTGCCACAAAGTGGATATTTTTTAACCAATTCGATTCCCGATAATTCATGCAAAGTTAGAGAACATATGTCATAAATATGATATTTGTAGTTTATATTATATATTTATTTTTCATCATTTCAAGGTATTTCTTAACATAAAAATAAATAGCATGCAATTTAACTTTTTCTTCTAACAAAAAAATTGTTCATATATTATGTATTTTTAAACACATATTTATTAAAATAAGAAATAAGCAGCATAAAATATAAGTATTTCCCTTCTTCATAGGTAAATAAAAAGATATATAAAAGTTTTAATGCAAACCTAGTATCTACTTTTATATCGCAAAATCAGTGGCATAATTTGTGACTTTCAACTTGACATGATTCTGAGCATTCAGTTGTTAATTAATTTCTTTAAAGACTCGAAATAATTTTCATATGAGGAAAGAATTTTTTCTTAGATTTATGAATCCAAAAGTGGAAAGCTGAATACATGAAATTTTCTCTCTTAAATTATTCAATAATGTGCAAAATAGTTGTAAATTTATACTTAGAGTTATATTTAAGGTTTTTCATAATTCTTTATATGTCAATAATTCTGAAGATGTTTTTCAAGAAGGTCCATGACAAATTTATCTACTTCCAACCACTCAAAAAATTAACAAATCTGTAGAGTAGTGAAGAGTGCCACTGAGAATCGTACTGCGTACCACGCGTGCCATAGGTTGCCGACCCCAATGTAGATCATGGAGCTGGAATTCTATTCTTTACATCCAAACTGTACTATCATGAGGATGTGAGTCTCGCAGTTTAAAAGTGCATCAGCTCTAATACACATCCGAAAGAATAGAACAGAAACCTTACTATAGTTCATTTTTATATCAGTCAGGTTTCCTCAAGCGTATTCCAAGTCTAGAAATTTTAATTTTGTTAGCTAAATTGAAAGAATAAAGTTTCCCATTGCAGAGATACTACGCATGCTTGGAACTGCTTATAATAAAATGCGTCGTATCTCATAAAATGAAGTTACATAGAAGGATTGCAATCTCTGCTTTGAGAAAGGGTTATGAAGTGGAATAATAATGGATTAATTTTCCCTAAAGGACTGCACACTTGAGAATTAAATGTAATATGGATAAAAGAAGTACAAGCATTGGACATGCTTGCACCTAAGCAAATTATGGTTTAGTTTTCAAATAATGTTATGTGTGAGACGATCAAATGTTGTCAAATATTTAAATAGGATCAATAATGCCGATCACACATACTTAAAAATCCTTCCAAAACTATAAATTTTCTCATAAGAATACCAGTGAAGTTGTTTTGAGGCTCTGGAATGGGCAGAAATTACAGAAAGTTGTCAGAATTACTACCTCAATTTCTAAAGAAACACACACACACACACACTGAGGGGTTATATCAGTTAATTGGTACTTTCATTTCGTTGTGGTTTTAGTAACGGTTTCCTTTTTTAAAACACTTTGCCATATTTTTTTTGTTATATTATAGGCATTTTACTGATGTCGTTGTGGAATTCGAAAGACAATATTACTTGAAGTTATTGAATTCCATGCCTAATTAATTTAAATATGACAATATTTGCATAGAATCGCTTAAGAAAGTGCTATTTTGTACATATAAACCCATCGAAAAACTTTACCCATTGAGAACTTTTGAGGCAACGATTTTGTTCATTTCTATATTTGTTCTTTGTCATTTGTATATTTTATCCTTGTATTTGTTTAACCATAATAAATAAAAAAGTTCTAATTCAACATGCAATAAAAAATCAATCATGTTTAATATTCCATTTCGTAAGACACCTTAAGAGTAGTACTCTCTCTCTCCAAAATGTTATGCAAAATTTCGAGTGATAAATGATAGTCTTCTTTCTCCCTTTTTAACGGAAAAGAACTATGAATCAAACATGTACTATATAGTTTGACATTTATTTAAATTAAAACAATTCCCCTTCTTTCTAAGAGTTTCTTGTTTTGTTATATAATGCAAGAAATAAATACAACTATAATATAATTATTATAATACAACTAACTAATTTTTGTTCTTGTTTCTGAAGATAAAATAGGAATTTTCATAAAATGATTCCCTATACAAATTAATATTTCATACGATGTTCCGTTGAAAAATATCTTTAGCGTTATAAGGCAGAAAGTCTCTTATTTATGCTAAGAATACTATCAAATGAATGTATATGTATATATTCATATTTTCATAATATATTTAATTTTAAACGCTGCTGCTGATTAGAATATCGGACGCGTCTGCTGCATCGTTTATTCCAATAAAGTAATCCACATCGGTTATAGATTCTTAAAAATAACATTTAAACTCTTAAAATGTAAATATTGATGCAGATTTTGCATTTTTGAATTTTACTAAACTGTAATTTTTAATTTAATATATTTTTTTTTATCTCTAGCTGAATTTAAAGTATTGTTTCTTTGCTGAATTCTTTTTGTGTTTCCTTCCCAAAACAATTACTGTCAAATCTTTTTGTTTTTCGTATTTGCTCCATTTTTTGCCGAAAATTAAAAAATTTCTTTCTTCCTAAAACAACCAAATAAATTTCCCGCTGAAACCCCGAATAATTACCATACAAAGCGGTTTGACTGGAAGAATCTCCATTTAAATCGTTTAGAGAAAGCGTAATTTGAGACATTTAAGTTCGACTTTCAATAAGTGGGCAGC